TTTGTTATTAATTGGCAACAACATACGCTCTGAGATGTGCAAGTATAATAAATTATGGTTGTCTTGACATGATCATAAGACAGTTATAATGGATGATACCCCATTGTGCAGCGGTTGATTGTAGGTGTTTTAATGATGATATTCGATATTCTAATTTGCTATTTTTTTCCTCGATGCAGATTTAATGTGGCATCAATAGAATGGTATACCGTTACAACAACTTTGCTATCAAAACAATTGAATATGGTTGAATGATGATTGAGTGAGAAAATCTAACAGATGTATTGAACAAGAACAAGCGTATCTAAGTGTTGATTTTATAAACATACAGTTATCACCATATTGAGTTATGTGTGAAATTGAATATACATAGCTACTAACATTATTTAAAAAAACCTCAGGCCGAAAGTTTCAAGGAGAATACAACCAACCAAATTCAATGTGCCATATAAAATATAAACAGTTATACCTAACACTGTTTTTTGTTTTGATTTCGGACAGTTGTTCTGACTTTGGTGATTCACTAAGAACATTGACAACGGTTGATTCTACGAAAATAAGAACTGTTCAGATGTGCTTACTCATCCAACTCACTATATATTTTCAGCAGTAATACTATAAGTACCTATACTATACTATGATATTCTACTGGAAAGGTACATTCTTATGGCATCAGAGGCGAGTTGCATTACCTTTCTAGATCTTATCTCCAAAATAAAATTCAGACTGTTCCTCAAGGTTCTGTCTTGGGGCCACTTCCATTCATTATTCATGTCAATGAGCTAAGCAGTTTCATGACCCTCTTTAAATGTGTTCTCTTCGCTGACAACTCGTCATTTATATGTCCAGACTACCATATTTTATTAGATCAGTCTGAAGAAATTGAACAAAAGGTTGAAACATGGTTCAGAGCTCACAATCTAAAACTGAATAATGACAAGTCTCAGAGGATTTTCTTCCGTACTAGTCAGCAAAGTGAAATTACTCGGTGTCACTTTGGATCATGAATTAAATTGGAATTCCCATATAGAACATCTGAACTTTGAAGCATAGATTGTCAAGTTCATTGTTTCTTTCACGCCAGCTCAGAAATGTATCAAATTTTGAGTCTTTAAGCACTGTGTATTGTCCAGTCTCATATGGGCTACGCGATTATACTGTGGGGTAATTCCTCAGCTGCAAGTGCAATTTTCATTCAACAAAAGAAAGCAATAAGAATATTGGGTTATGTAGGATAAAGAGATTCCTGTAGACCTTAATTCACTAAATTCAAAAGTATGACTCTTTCGACCTTGTATATTTTCAATTCCCTTCTTGAAATCCCTAAAGTATCGTCTAATCTCACTATACAGGCTGATACTCATCATCATAACACTAGGAATTCCCTAGATGAAGGCTCTCTATTTCACAACAAAATTCTTCAGATTTCAATCTTTATAATGTACTGCCACCTCAAGTTGAAATATCAATGATGAATGAGTTCAAACGCACAATCAAATCGTCTTCTTGGATTAATGTCAACGAAATTTGCATCGACAAAGAGATTTTATCGCCCGGCCACCTACGCAACGTTATTTTCACTCCTCAGAAGAATTCCTGCTAGCGCTCAGCAGGAATTCAAATCATCTATTTGTGAATAATACTGGAAGGAGTTCTGAAAGCGGTGGAAGTCGGGATAAAGATCATACCGAATAATATGACAAATCAAGTCTGTTTGTTATATAAGGAGCCAATAGCATTCCTGTCCATTATGCATCGATTCACATCAAGAGTAAGAAAACACGTGGCTGAATAGATGATAATTTACTGGAGGGCTTTATGCTATGCTTATTTCAATTTGAATGGATGTGTCACATTGAGTAATTTTATTAAACCATATTATTTTTTCTTAACCTGAAAAATTCGTTCTTGTCTCTTGTTATGTATGGGTTGCGTGCAAGATCTGTCAGATGACCGACCCTGGAGGTAAATCATTGAAGAACAACCTCACTTTTATTTATTTTTTCTATGTTCTGGTTCCCACGGAAAGGGATATCCTGTAATGTTCAGAGAACATCGTGAGAACCAAGGGAAATAAGGTAGGAATTGGTGTTCTTCTTAAATTTCTGGAGGTTATATGCCTCGGGGAACACCTCCCTTGGCAATGTGTTCCAGAGCCTCGCTGTTCGTTGGATGAACGAGTCTTTGAAAAGAGATGTTCTGCAGGTCTCCAAAGTGACCACGAAGGGGTGCGAGGCCTCAACTCGACGGGTTAATCTCGCGGGGACTGCCAAGGGAGCAACAATTGTTGATATTTCAGAAGAGCATCGTCCATGAAAATATCTATGAAAAAGAGCCAGATCGCCAACTTTTCTATGGTGTTCCAGAGAAGTGAGTGAGTTTGTGAGCGAGGCATCTCCCACGAGACGAATTGCCCTTTTTTGAACAAAATCCAACAGTTTCAGGGTATGTTTGGGTGCTGCACTCCAAATATGGGAACAGTATTCCAGGACAGATCGAATCTGTGCCTTCTAGATCATAAGCAGCAGACTGGAAGTGAAATGGCTCCTGGCCCGAAACCGGAAACCAATTTTTTGGGATGCACTTTTAGCAATTGATCTCACGTGATTTTCCCAAGGAAGGTTATTGCTGATAGTAATACCGAGCATCGAAATTGATGTCTTCAAAGGATTGAAATAGTTTTCCCAATTATTTTGGCATATGAATCGTGGTTTTCGGCTATTCATTAATTCAAGCATGCCATCACATTGTGCTGTTGTACAATGCACAAAAATGTGGCGAGAGACGAAGGGATAAGATTTTTCAGATAAGGTATGTACATTGTGATCTAAAAGTACTATAGTCACTCACATATAGTTTCAATTTTGAAATTTTGTCATTTCTCATTGTAATTCCTCCTGCAATAGGAGCTAATAGAAATACTCGTGAAGTTTCTAAAAGAATGCAAGAAGTTTGGATTCATGCAATCAAACAGGAGGACTGGTCTGACATGCTGACGAAATATGATTGATCGTATGTGTTGTAGACATTTTCACTCTATCAGCAGTATTAGCTTCTATTGCAGGAGTGGCAGGAGAAATTTCAAAAAGAAAAGTTAAAATTTCACAATGAAAACTAAGTGAGATCACTATGTTTACCTGAAAAATCATATTCCTTCGCCTCTCGCTGCATTTTTTGTGCATTGTACAACAACACAATGTGATGGCATGCTTGAATTGATGAATCGACCAAAAAACATTTCAATCCTTTGATCCCTGCGTCAACAAATTAGAAGAGTGAGGTTGTGTTTGCATGTTCTACAGAAAAGTAAGGTTGTGTTTCAATGTTTTTCCTCCAGGGTGAGTCATCGTGCACGCTACCTTTATGAGTTCGTCTGCTAGTAACGTTGGTCATTGTCATTGTGTCTGATGTCATTTGTCTTTTTGTTGACTTGTGACTTGCGACGCATGTCTTTGTTCCATTTCTTCCTGGTCAGGTGACTTCCGTCGAGTACCTAACAAGATGGACAGGTACACATTGTCTTCGTTCTCCCACTTGAAATTATCACTGATGTGCACCTTGTGGTGGGCTTTTCCTTCGTATCCCCTATAATATGTCCCTTCTGATTGTGTAACAACATTATTTGTGGAGATGACTTCGAGCATTCCTTCCTACTTTGATTTCCAGTTAGGGTTTTTGAGCTTTGCTCCCTTGGTTCGAAATGGAAACCATTTTTGTTTTTACTTCATTATGATAAGATGTAACTCAACTTCCTTCATTCCCACGTAAGCAGAGCTTTTATAAATCCAAAATGTTTTGCACCATCCACTTTTTCCCAGGATATGAAGTAATAATTGATAAGGCTGAGGATGAGCATATACACCGTGTCCCAGCTAAAATTCCCCCCCTCCCCGGAAAAAAATCAACCGCACGATCAAATGACTTGAAATTTGGTCACCCAGTATATTTGATGATGCTCACTCGAAATATGCTATTGAATAAATCGTAGGTATACAGGGTCACACCAAAGTGCACATCAACTTCCTTATTTGAATAGGGACACCACGTTTATTATTCCATATTCAAGTAGAGTTCATTATTACAAATTCAACAATGCCGGGTTTGAAGAGATTTTTTCGAACGACTACGAAGATATGGCAAAAAATAAAACGATTCAATAAAAAATGTATATTAGATTTTATTAATATAACACGATTGGAATCGAATGATGGGTGTCCTGCACATAACTACAGACCCGTAAAGGATTATCTTCGCCATCGGTTTGGAGGAAATCTAATAACCACCAATTGTCTCGATGGTGATAGCAACCGGTCAGCTCGGTCGCCAGACCTAACCCCTCTTGATATTTATTTGTAGGGCTACTTGAAAAAACAGGTTTATGAGTCGCCAATTGTGAATATGGAAGAAATGAAAGATACAATCACAAATTTGTGCGCTCAAATTGATCGCAACGTGATACATAGGGTCAAAATGAACGTTATCAAAAGAGCTAGGAAATGTTTGCAAAAGAATGGACGACATATTGAGCAGTTGAGGTTCAAATTATTTTCTTTTCATCCGATTTCAATCGTGTTATATTAATAAAATCGAATCATATAAATATTTTATTGAATCGTTTTATTTTTGCCATATCTTCGTAGTCGTTTGAAAAAATTCCATCAAAGCCGGCATTGTTGGATTTGTAATAATGAACTCTACCTGAATATGGAATAATATATTGGGTGTCCATATTCAAATAGGAATGTTTAGGTGCACTTCGGTGTGACCATGTACACCTACGATTTATTCAATAGCATATTTCGAGTGAGCATCATCAAATATACTGAGTGACCAAATTTCAAGTCATTCGAACGCGCGGTTGAGTTTTTACAGGGGGAGACATTTTAGCTGGGACACGGTGTATATGTCCGAACCATGTACCAAATAATTCGATCTGTTGGATCATATTGAAATGTCGAGGAGATGGCTCTGAGTATTATTAGTGGTAATTATTTCTTTACCTGGTCTGGTAGAATCTGATGACTCTGCATTTGGCTCTGTGTCCAGGCGGCCATTTGTTTGGGGGGTACGTCAGGGGCTACTGCCCCTTTGCTTCTTTTTTTGTACTCGTGAAGAATGGGAATCTTGGAGTTCTTATCCGTGCTGGACAAGATGACCTCCCTCTCGATCTGAAATGGAATAATACCATTGTGTTTTTTGCAATAAACATAACTTTGAATAGCATAAGTAGTATATTTTATGCAACCCAAATCTTGTAATTGTAATTCGAGTTGTAATGATCACTTAGATATTAACAAGCACCTCTAAGTTCATTTCATTTGCCAGAAAGGCACAAATAACTATTTTCTTTGATGATGATGGACTTATGATAGTCGAAACATGTTCTGATAATTCTGATATTAATTAATGTGTGGACATGACTTATAGTGTGTCTTGTCTCTGAATAATCATTGTATATTTTTTCATCTCTTGGAGTACAGGGTGGGCAAAATTGGGCGTTTTCACCGTCTATCTCAATAACTAGAGGAGTTATCGAAAAACCGATATACATGTTCCGGGTTCGATTTTAGAGAAACCTCGAATGGCACAATCAAAATTTCGATATCTTCATTCGTTTTAGAGATACAGGGGGAAATTGAAAATTTGCCGATTTCGATTTTATTTTCTGACTACTTTACGGTGAGAGGTATCATAAAATTCCAAACGTATGTTCATACAATATGATGCGTGGAATCCATTGGCATCATCAGAAATTTTATACAGGGTGACGTTGAAAAGATACGGCAGCCAATTATGTTTTTTCAAATGGAACACCCCGTATATTTTGGCACAGTTGAATAGTCCCAGGTGTTCTCATTACAAATATATATATAACCCTAGCGTTTCCTTCCACAATTTCAGATATATTCGCAAAAATATATTCAGTGTGTCACATTTCTTATGGTTACACCCCCGTATCTTCTGTAAAAATAATTGAGGTAGGATTCAAAAATTCGCAACTGTCAGAAAGATACAAATGATACACTCATGGAGTCATGGACCAGTGGGATCATCTCCAATGATAACACTGCTCGCCAGCAGCTATGGAATCATCGATATTTCTGGATAATGCTATCAACAGGCAGAATCGAGGTTGAAAATGACACTCTGTATATATTCACCAAATGTGGGAAATAAATATCATAGGGAATGTAATTTCCAGATAAAAGGATATTTGGTGAGAAATAAAATGGGAAATTATTCGATTTGATATCATTGTTATCGAGACATTTGAGATACAGAAATAAGACCAATAATTTACTCAATTAGGAAATCAGTAGGTTGCGTTGAAAAATACAGCCTTATAGAAGATGTCCAAATTCCAGATACATTTTTTTTATGGAATTTTATGGATTGGCAGAGCTGGAAAGTTTCCGTTTCAATTTCAAATATGAATCTTATTTTTTATCTCTTTGAACGCAAAAATATTAAGGCATACTAGAAATAATGGGTAAAGTATCATATTCAGGCATTCTGCCACAAAATATTATGATTGATAATGTTTCCATCAATTATTCTTACAGAAGATACGGGGGTGTAACCATAAGAAATGTGACACACTGAATATATTTTTACGAATATATCTGAAATTGTGGAAGGAAAAGGTAGGGTTATATATATATTTGTAATGAGAACGCCTGGGACTATTCAACTGAGCCAAAACATACGGGGTGTTCCGTTAGAAAAAAACATAATTGGCTGCCGTATTTTCTCAACGTCACCCTGTATAAAATTTCTGATGATGCCAATGGATTCCACGCATCATACTGTATAAATATACGTTTGAAATTTTTTGATACCTCTCACCGTAAAGTAGTCAGAAAATAAAATCGGAATCGGCAAATTTTCAATTTCCCCCTGTATTTCTAAAACGAATGAAGATATCGAAATTTTGATTGTACCATTCGAGGTTTCTCCAAAATCGAACCCGGAACATGTATATCGGTTTTTCGATAACTCCTCTAGTTATTGAGATAGACGGTGAAAACGCCCAATTTTGCCCACCCTGTACACTATAATGTTCGAAGAACATCTTGCGTTGCTAAGGAGGATATATAGGGAGAGGCAGAAGGTATTAGATTTTTTTTTAAATTTTGGGGATTACAAGTTCTTGGGAATACTTCCTATAGCAAAGAATTCCAAAGGTTTGCCGTTCTATACAGGGTGTGTCTAAATAACACCGAAAAATTTCAAGGGGCGATTCCTTCCTGTTCATCAATTTCAATAAAATGTTGAGGTTTTGTTAATAGTAATATGAAGCTACTTCTAGTGCCATTTGATTCGAAATAATTTGTCCAGTGGCGTCACAGTGGGTAAATTTATCGATACCCATGGTGAATGTCATTGCTCACTACCGATTTTTCTGAGAATCATATTTTTATTAGATTGAAATCACAACTTTTTTATCCAACTTTGTATCTAGCTTGGTCTTTGAGGAAACAATAAAAATTCGATTTGACTCCAAATTTCAATGTAGGTGTCTTCAAGACTTCGATTCAAGGAAACACTTCTTGATTTTTTTCGGTGCTATTTAGATACACCCTGAATAAACATACGAGTTCTGATAAGGTGTTGAACGACATATTTCAAGGTTGACAACAAGACATCTTATTCGTATTAGGTATACAGGGCGATACCCCGGATTTGAATATATAGGACTCAAAAATTGTTGGTATAGTTTATCCAAAGTAAGTTGGAGCGTTTGTCAGTTGTTCAATGAATTGATATTTATCAAACGATCTTCAAAAGAAGCTACACAAACCTGCGTACTATAGTATACTATACCTACTTTTTTAGAACTTTCTCCCTGTGATTTCATCTATACTGAAGTCACTGATAGTATTAGTTAGATAACAGAAATGACAACTGTTAGTGTTTTTGAATTTTTAAATTTATCAAGATGCACTTTGCATTCTTTGAATTTGGCAATACATTTTAAGAACGTCAGAATTGAAATATAATTTCATAAACTATCGAGGAGAAACATAAATGAAAATGTCCTGCTTTGAAATGAATTTTGGAAATTCTGAAGAGAATGGATTTCATCAAGAATGTCATTTATTCAATTTTCCAAAGGAAATATCAACCATTCTCTCATGGAAGGAATGTATGAAATGGACTGGATGGAAAATTAATTTGAAGACAAGCAAACGTTGTGAGGTAGGTATACATACATTAAAATTCGCTTCTTATAACAGCAGGTTAGAATTAAACTATATTTTTAGGCCCATTTACATTCACAAAACAGACTATTCCAGAAAAAATCCATTATTATTATCATCATCACACGAAATGCAATGCAAAACAAAATTATAATGAAGAAAGAGGAATTGATTGCAAAATTACATAATGAAATTGAAATTTTTGGAACGAAACTGAGGAAACCAAGTAAATTGCAACGTGATATATAATTTTATGGTGTTTTCAATACCGATCAAATAAAGAATATATCAGTGAACAGTGAATGCAGGGAAAGGTGGAAAATCAAAACAATGAATAAAGCGTTTGCCCTCAAATATACTTGTGGTACCACAGGCTATGAACACACCTGTCTATTTCGTCATATTTATGGTCATATTGAAATGTTGTTACATGCATTCTCCTCATTTTCATAACTGTTGTTTTGCGAAAAGCGTATCACTATAGATCGAAGTGGGTTTTCATAAAGGGTATATTTATTGTCCATCTACGGCTATGATTGATTTGACAGAAAATCTAACCTTCAAAATCGTATACGACAATAGTAGACAATAGGTCGCGTGCAAGAACTGTCAGATGACCGACCCTGGAGGCAAAACATATTTGTTTACAAGTGATCGAAATAGTTTTCCACAATTATTTTGGCATATGAATCGTATTTTTCCGCTATTCATCAATTCGCTAATGCCATCACATTGTGCTGTTGTAAAATGCACAAAAACTGCAGCAGAAGATGAAGAAATCCGGATGGTACATTATGATTCAAAAGTAAGTACCTACTATAGTCACTCACATAGTTTTCATTTTTGAAATTTGGTTATTTCTCTGATTTCTCATCGGAATTCCTTCTGCAATAGGATCAGCTAATAGAAATATACCTGAAATTTCTACAATAATGCAAGAAGATTGGATTCATGCAATCAATCGGTAGGACTGGTCTGACATGCTGACGATCGTGTGTGTTGTAGACATTTTCAATCTATTAGCAGCATTAGCTTGTATTGCAGAAGTGGCAGAAGGCAGAAGGAATTTTAATAAGGAATGACAACATTTCATAATGCTAACTATGTGAGATTACTATTTACCTGAAAAATCATATTCCCTAGTCTCTTGCTGCATTTTTTGTGCATTGTACAACAGCACAATGCGAAGGCATGCTTGAATTAATGAATAACGCAAGAAACACGATTCGTATGCCAAAATATTGTGAAAAACTATTTCAACCTTTTGATTCCTCTGTAACCAAATAAAAAAGTGAGGTTGTGTTTCAATAATTCACAGAAGAATGAGGTTGTGTTTCAATATTTTGCCTCCAGGGTCGGTCTTCGTGCACGTGACCTATCAGGCGCTACTAGGGAAATTGAAAAGACGAAGAGCAGAATATATGTATTATTCTCTTAATCACTCAAACCATTGTAATACAGAAAATAAAAAAGGAGAGAAGTTCAGGTGTGTTCGATGTCTATACCTACGTAAATTCATTATAATGATAAAGGCCATATAGGCCGAACATAGAAAGAAAATTGATTGGCCAATGTGCCAAGCGAACAGACAAATCGGACTTCCTTTGGGGCCACAATATAATCTGGACCAGATCCTATTATATGCAAATATCCCTGGCAGATTATGCAAAAGAGACCGACCAAATTTATATTGTATGTCTGTATCACTTTATCGCCGTTGCTCGCCAATCAGTATTTATTTGTTCAAATACGGTACACATGCATAATTGATCTGTCATTCAGAAACATGGGTAGACAATAGCTAATTCGAACAATCGCAAAATTAGCTTTTTTATTCACTATAGGTAAAATACAAGGTGTCAATTTGAAAACTTTCCACCCTCAATATCCTCTTTCCAGTATCAGTATCTAGAGATCAAATTTCACTTCACAAAAAAATAGGTAAATAAAAGAGGAATTTGGCTCCT